AGAGAGGGTTTTTTTTTTTTTTTTTTTTTTTTTTGTGGTTGGGGGGGGGGGGGGAACGAGGATTGGTGTGATAATAATAAAATAAAATGAACGCAACAAATTCAAGTAGTTAATTTATAAACAGATTGAAACGTTATTGAGTAGTTAGACATTCAAACAAATCAACCTAAGAAAGAACATTGTGCAGATGAAGAAAAACACCAAAATACACAAAACTAACTATATAAGCAAAAACTGAGGAATAAATATTAAGAAAAATGTTACTATAATTAGTTGTAAGGTAATTCTGCTAGAAAAACACACTGCAGGTTAGTGGGAGGTGGGGAGGGTCTACCTTTTGCAGGCCACGTACACACTTTCATTTGTTTTTGTCAATCAATCAAACAATGGTAGGGGAGATTTGCTGCCGATAAATACACGAACGCTACTAGGTAAAAGCAACTTGATTTCTAGCTTCGTACAAGCCATTTATTCATAGAAGTCATATGAAGATAAGCCTATCTGAGAGTGACTCAACATTTATATTCGAAAACTTAATAAACGTATGTGTAAGTAATCCGTTGTAATTGTGAACAAAATAACATAATATATGACAGAAAAAGAAGGAAGATCAAATTTTGTCTAATGAAACAGAACATTATCCAACTTCTTAACACATAGAGCAATACATTATTTGATCAGATAATTATACGATAATTAATTCCTTTCAAAACTCAAAAGCAAATAGTCTGGTAGGCGAAGAGTGAACATGTCTCCATACAAGATGCCTACCAGAAAAATAATAATAATAATAATAATAATAATAATAATAATAATAATAATAATAATAATAATAATAAATAAATAAATAAAATTTAAAAAATAATTATATAATAATGGTCTTAGTATTAAGAAAAGAAAAGTAAGATAATAAAAATAATAGTAATGATAATCAGAATCAATAAAGACATATTAAATTCATGTATTCATGTATACATCAAAATATATTACCGTATAACATGCTACATATGTTTGGTAATTATGATTTATATTCCTTATATGTGTAAATCCAAATAAAAATCCAAATAATAACTACCAAATTAATAATTAAATATAAAGAATAATGAGTAACATAAACAAGTTGATAAATATGAGTAGCTTCTAAGTAGCTGTGGTACTTTACCACAAGTACCAAACCCATAGGTCCAAATCCAACAAAAATTCCAGTAATTTCAGCAAATAAATTACTACTGACTCCCTTTAGACTATAATAACTGAAATTAAATCACATCCCAAACTATATAATATGACCCCTATATATATCTATGGTATGAGGCAAAAAAAAAAGAAAAAAAAGAAAAAAAGAGTACATGAGCTGCAGCATGAATCGAGCCAGTGAGCTTCGCATTATCATTCTCATACTACTACAGAGGGAGGAAATAGACCCCATTGGACAGGCATGAATCCCCACCCCACCCCTCCCCCCACACACCCAAATCATTTGCTGATGACACAAGGTCGCTGGATTAAAAATACTAGTCTGCCAATTTAAAATAATGTTATTTTGATCGCCAAATACAGTCTGTCTTCTAATTTGAGCCCACCTTTAGGATTTGAAAATTTGGGGTGGTCTGAGGGTTTGGTCTTTAAATAGAGGGTAGCATGAGTTAAAAGACTGAAGATTGTTACAGGTCTCCACCCCCAATTAAATATCACTTTGGTGACTGGTGTTTCAATGGTCTTTAGCAGCTTCCAGTAATTTCAGCAAATAAATTACTACTGACTCCCTTTAGACTATAATAACTGAAATTAAATCACATCCCAAACTATATAATATGACCCCTATATATATCTATGGTATGAGGCAAAAAAAAAAGAAAAAAAAGAAAAAAAGAGTACATGAGCTGCAGCATGAATCGAGCCAGTGAGCTTCGCATTATCATTCTCATACTACTACAGAGGGAGGAAATAGACCCCATTGGACAGGCATGAATCCCCACCCCACCCCTCCCCCCACACACCCAAATCATTTGCTGATGACACAAGGTCGCTGGATTAAAAATACTAGTCTGCCAATTTAAAATAATGTTATTTTGATCGCCAAATACAGTCTGTCTTCTAATTTGAGCCCACCTTTAGGATTTGAAAATTTGGGGTGGTCTGAGGGTTTGGTCTTTAAATAGAGGGTAGCATGAGTTAAAAGACTGAAGATTGTTACAGGTCTCCACCCCCAATTAAATATCACTTTGGTGACTGGTGTTTCAATGGTCTTTAGCAGCTTTGGTCTCTAATTAGTAATTTTTTTTTTTAAGACTTAGAGGGACTTGGAATTAGAAGGGTCTTTAATTGGAGGATGCACTGTATTGTGGTCTATGGAAAAGAGGCTTTATTTCCAAGGGGGCAGGGATTGCCTTAGGATGTTTATTTACTTCACATCTGAAAAGAAGGTAGTTTCCTTGACTGCCATATTCTACAATTAACAGTCAATCGAAGAGTCATTCCAAAGAGCATAGCAAGACTAATATTTATGCAATAAAAATGAGTATAACTTATTAAGAAGTGACACCATGACAGCTCTGAAAAATAACATCGCTAATGTTACCTTTAGTTGGTTATTTTTTTGCATTTTGCTGAAACAAATAGAAATTTTAAGATAAATAAATGGTTTGCCCTACCTATATTTTGTATTATGTTCAAAATTAATTATACACAAAATGAAATAAATGAAAGATACAAACACAAATGCAATAACGTAACAATTGTATAATAATATGGTATAGTCAAACTATAAACATCAACAATGGAAGTAATGACAGCTGGATTAGCATGACAAGAACAATGAAGATGACGACAATGATGACAAGAACAACAAAAACAACAGCAATAAATATATAACAACATTAACAATAATGCAACAACAATACATTTACAAATACTTTCTTAATTTCAACAAAGCATTTATAAACTCAATAAATATGTTGATAAAATTATATTACTATATTGAAGATGAAGGAAGATTCTGAAGCGATATTGTGTTGATAAGCTGATGAATGTACCATGCAGTCATTTAGCCTATTGATCATCCCTCTTAAGCCGAGCTCTCACTACATCCCGCAGTCATCGCCCGATGCGATTCTATGAAGAACTCAATGCCACGACGCACACGCAACTGATTGTTTTCAATGCCAATCCATTTGGACTGCCACTGACAATCAGCAGTCAGCATTGGTGTCGTCTAACACTCATAGGGGGTGGAGTTTGTCGGCAGTGAGTGGCTGGCTTTATATGTCAAGTGTCTCCTGTACTTATCAAATAGCATCGCCAATGTGGTTATATCCCTTGTTCCTTTCTATTTCCTATTTGGTTTTATTATAGTTTACTTACTCATATCATCTTTTCCCAACAAAACAATGTAGTAGTAAGGTAAGGGTTGAGTGGAATTAAGAGGAAAGAGTATAGAGGATAGGTTCAAAGGGAATAAGTAGAAAAAGTTGATAGGATAGATAAAGAAATTGGAGGTATAGTAGAAAAGGAGAATAAGATAGTGAATGTAGAGAAAAAGAAAGGAAAAAGTGTGAGAGAAATTTAATATAGAGAAGAAACTAGACAAAATGGTTAAGGTTATGGTGGGGCAGGAGGGGAATAGATTGTCAAAACTTCATGGGTATACAGTCTTGAATCTTGTTTTATTTCTTGAAATCTCGCTAAGATTCATTTCTCCCTCCCCAAAGCTAACACTGCCAGCTACCTCCCCTATATCTATCTATGTGCCTTTTAAGACTACTATTTGCACCATATGTTCTTCCCTAATTCTCTTCCCCTATCCCCTTCCTAGCCAGACTGACCTGTAAAGTGTCTATACATTAAATACCATTTGTATGGACATACAGTGGTACCAGATTAATAAAAGGTTATAATGACTATTAGATAAACCATTTTCATTAAATATGGTTGAAATAAATAATTAATAAAGTTGAGAAAGCTTAATTCACAGATTTTACAATAAAAAAAATGGCCGCTTCATGCGAAGATTAAGGCTTAATACGTCACCTAAAATCCATGCTATAAAGCATTTCTATGATCAAGCGAGCAAACAAGTTAATTTTATTGGCAGTAAGCAGTGCTAAGCACCATGCATGCACACTGGTTTCTTTGAGAAGACTCACCGGAGGTGAACGGTAGCGTTTTATAGTTGTACGATGTGGAATCCAGATCTGAGTGTTAAAACATGCTTGTTAAGTTTTACTAAACTAAATGAATATACTGCTCAGCTAGTTCCTAATGTATTATTGCATGAATTAACCAAAGCAAATTTCTCATCCAGGAGGGGTAGAGAGAGAAGGGGTAGGGAGACGGAGAACCTCCCCCCCCCCCATTGGTCAAGTAAAACCCCATTTGGTGAACATTACTTTCAATAGGAACATCTCCTGTTAGTGTGAGTGTTACCCCTACGCCTGTAGACAGTTATCACCCCATTTACTTTAAAGTTGATATCTCACTGGTTTAAAGTTAAAGTATGCCCCCTTTACGATTCTAAAAAAATTCTTTCTTACTACAGTAAATCCATATTTACTAGAGTTAAAATCCCATTTTGTTATAATACTTTATTTGCTAATGTTAATACCACATTTACTAGAGTAAAGTGTCTTTTGCTTTAAGTAACACTTATTTTGCTACAGTACTAACACCAATATTACTAAAGTAACACCACTTTTACTAAAGTAAGACCTAAAAGATTTAAACTGGTGGCTTGTATTGGATTCTTCCTTCACCCTTTCCTTCTCTCTCCTTGCTTTCCCCCTATATCCTAGAAATTCCCCCTTACAAAATTCTTAGTTACTTTATGTTCACATCTATCTTCATACCTGATTTAACATTCTTTTTAGCAGCTGAATAAAAACATACATAATAGAATATAAATCCATAATTCTATACTTTATTACTAAATCTATTATTTTTTTATGGGAAAAAAAGATTGCATATATTTGCAAAATTGACAATTTAAAAATTTTATGTTAAAAAGCAGCTCAACATTCAAAATGTTATTCGAGCAAGAGTTCCAAATAGAAAAACAGCATTTAGTAAAGTCATGATCGTAGTCAAATCATTATTCAAATTAGATAACTTTGCTCATGAATATTCATTAGGATTAATTGTTATAATTTACAATTATAAAAAATAACATGCACTAGAAAATATAATTAAAATTGTCACATATTTAAACTCCTTATCATCAATGAAAGACTCATTTAAAGCTCTGTCTAGAGTATCAGATAATTCTGTTCTATGCCCATATACAGTCATGATGTGCCTATATATGGTCCTGATGTGATATCATCACGACCATATTTAGGCATGTAACTTTTTTTTTCAAATAAAATTTGATAGTCTGGACAAGGCTTTACATTAGGGTGTTGTTAGTTGCTGTCATGTGACCACTGTCATGTGACCACTATCATGTGACTGGGCCATTCTGTGGCAGGTCTGATCGGATACTTACCAAACCATAAGCTTCTTAAATACTCACCTTAATTTTGAATCATTTACTTTTAGAACAAAATGGTAAGCTATACAGTAAGTTATATAGAACACTAAATGCCAGCTGTTCCATATAATTTTGGGGGTGTTTTCCCTTTAAAGAAATTGGTAATACTCAATTTATCCAAGTACGTATTCACAAAATGAACCGTTTTATCATTGTAACCTATCTTAGCAAAAATTGGAAATAAACTCTATGCAGCACGCAAAAGAAACAAGCGAGAAGATCAGAGATATTTTACTAACCTCCATGCGCCCTAGGGGTACGTTTTCGCTTGTCAGCTCGCGTGAACGCACTACCATCCTTGAGAGCCTCTAGCAGGTTGTCCATCACACCCTCTTGTTCATTTTCACCATTGATGTCTACCAGTTTTGTTCGGTTATTCTTTGCTTTCTTCTCTTTCTCAGCTTTCTCTTTCGCTTCTTTCATCTTCTTTTCTTTCTCCAGAAGTTGCTTTCTGGCTTCGTTTTCTTTTAACGACACCTACAAAGCGAAAAAAAACCCCCCGAATTCATCATTAAGTATGACATACAAAAAAATATGCTTAAAGATGAACTTATGGTGGATTGAAAAAAAAAAATGTTTACTGTACCTTGTATGCTTCAAGAAACATTTTCATGTCACCAAAGAATTCTTCAAAATTCTTTTTACTTGTATCGAAACTAAAATATTCACCAAGTTGCTTAAACAATTTATGCATCTTTTCTGCCATTGTTTTGAGTGTGTCATATTCTGTCCTTGCTTTACCGACAAAGTCGTAAACTCCAGTTAAGGAATATATTCTCGAAATTAACAAATAAACAGTTTACAGTTGTCAATTAAGACTTTTATTTTTTCACCATTATGGAGCGTTACTATCAAATCATGATCAAATTAGCTATTATAATCATCAACATGAACCATTATCATATCATCATTAATCACCATCACTACAGGCCTTATCACCAAAACCATCATCATCGTTATCATCACCACCATTCTCATCACAATCATTATCATTATTATCATTACCAACACCAACACCATTTTCATCATTATCATTCTCATCATCATCATCCTCATTATCATCACCAACACCATTTTTATCATTATCATTCTCATCAACATCACCAACACTATTTTCATCATTATCATTCTGATCATTATCATCATAATCATTACCACCAACATCATTATTATCATCAACATCATTATCATCATTCTCGTTAGCATCATTATTATCATTATCAACATCATCATTATTATAATCATTATCATTGTCCCAATGACTAAGGATATTGACATCACTTCCTTGAACCGGTCATTGCCCTCCTTCGCTGGTTTGAACGCCTTCAAATCTTTCTCAAGATCTTTGATTGATTTCTCCATTGAATGAAGACTCTTCATAATGTTCTCTTCAGACACTGCATAAAGAAATTGAAAATAAAATTTCAACAATTTAAGGGTCATCCTCTATAAATATATGGTTAAAAAAAAGACAATCAAAAGTGTGAACTAAAAGTATGAAAATAACAATAAATAACACTAGAGTCACTCAATAGTGCATATATTAAGGTATGGCACTCTGCCATGCCTTAATACCAACAATAAGCAGGCTGGAAACTGCATCAAACCCTCATTATTTGACATAATCAAATCGCCCATCAAAATTTAGGTACATTATTTTCTTAATGCTGCCTGAATACGAGGGGAGATTCCAATATTTTATGCTATAAATAATTGAATTTCTGTCACCTTGACATTGCCTTTTGAACTTTTTACTGAAAATTGAGTGGTGTCTTCCTTCAATTATTATGTACCGTTCCACTAAATTTTATGATAATCCATTCATTAGTTTTTGCATCATCTTGCTAACAGACAGGAGTGAATACGTAACCTCCTTGGTGGTAAGACAGCAACTACAGCAGTGGCAGTAACAACAGCCAATGAAATCATAACAAAATTAATAATACTTTATGAAGAGCCCCTATATAGTGCCCACTCCACCTAACAAGAGTTTGTCTTTATATAAACAAAAAAAAGTAAGCTAATAATCGATAATTCATAAAGATTGGAAACGTACCTCGAGCAGCCTTGTCTGCCTGAGATATTTCCTCCGTGAAGCCCACAACCTCAGGGTATTTTGTTGAAACTGTTTCAGCCAAAAAGTGCATCAAATTCATCTTGTTATCTGCAGACTTCGTTTCACGCAACTACAAAAAAAAAAATCAAGTCATCAACAAAAGTTTCAATATAAATTAAATACTATAGTAAAACGTCCATTTTACGAACGTCAATTTTACGAATGGTGTATTTTACGAATGGTGTATTTTAATTATTACCAATTATTACCGTAAAAAAAGTCTGATTGGGCACGTTTTACAAAGTGATAATGTATATTTTTCTTAATAAAATCAAGCTTGTTTTATTTATTTATTAATAGTTTGATCTTTTCTTCTATTTCTGGTATAATAATCACTATATTAATGTAATAAACCTAACCAGAACAACAAACTACCAACGCAAGTGTCGTCGGATTGAGCGCACATGTTTATGATGACGAACGAGAGCGTTGGGGTCAGCAAATTATTGACATCGTGAATGCTAGATATGATGGCGAAATGCATGTAAACAACACAATTTGGTGATCTAACAACTAGAAAGAATACGATAAAAAGAGCCATAAAACATACAGGTGTTTGAATAAGAATTTTTGAAACTGACCTTGGTTAAATAGCTGAGGTCAAACCCAACTGATTGTGCGTTTCTTGACCCGGCGTTCATATAGTTTCCCATAAGTAACACCAACTCCAAGAGTTTGCCAAACTTTTTACTTTGTAGCAACTCCTCGCAAGACTTGGTTCCAATGACAATGTCAGGTTTGATATCACCTATCGCTTCTTCAAAGTGCATCTTGAACATGACTGACTGTAGGCGTGGGACTAAACGCTTGATACCACCGATCTAAGCCAAAAACAAAACACAGGATTAATTACTTTTACAAAACCTGTGTCATGATAAATATTTAGGTTTGTAAATTTAATATATGATTATTATTTTATCATTACAGTATTATATAAATAAATAACAACCAAAGTTATTGAAAATTCATATTTATTATACTAATATCTATGTACACTACATTTTATTAACTATTTTTCTTGTTATATATTAATTTCTTCATAAATTCATTAGTATTATGAAAAATAATTTAAATTAATTCATATTTTTTTTAAATTATAAGGAATAGACAAATTATCATTGTCAACATCATCATTATTACTATTATATTATTACAATTACACCTATAACTATGTGTAATAATCATAGTAATAATACTAACAATAACAATAATAGTACTAAAAATAATAATCTTAATATTAGGAATTATAACAATATATATAATTTTTTACTGTCCTCACTCAAATTAGGAATCAGAAACTTGGGCTGGGCCCATGGAGACCCGCAGCAGATTCAGTGCAGTTCTACTGGAATTAGCAACAACATAACATACAAACATATCCCTAGCTTGCCTAACACTCAATATGAGGGTTATTTGAGCATGACTTGAGGAGCTGAGTGATCAGATTAATAAATTAAAACCACTCATCCCGTAATTATTAGAATTATTATTATTACTACCACGTACAGTGCAACAGAACTGTTCTGCATCAGTCATGTCATCATACTGATCCTTTAGTTGATAGACAGCGGTGATTTGCTCCGGTTCAGGCAGGTTCTTTATCAGTGACGAGAGAATTTGTTCAGACAGGTCATCGACCTCCAAGATTCGTCGTTTCATTTCTTCGTGTGGAATGCGAAGTGATCCAAGAAGGATAGCTGTAACAAACACATCCCAGTCAGTGTTTCTACTATTTTATAGATGTAAATGCATTCATTAAACATTACATTTCTGATTATACATCTCAAATAGTGATACATTGACAACTTTAAACAAATGGTGTACATGATATATACTGGATTTCTAAAACTAACAATTATAGCACACATAGTACTACAACTATGAGGACCTCCTTCAGACAAGTTTTGAACCTCATTCCCTGTTGTCTGATGCTACAATAAGGTCGTTGGACTAGACATATCACTTTGCATTCCAAAATAAAGTTATTGTGACTGCAGATCCTAATAATGTAGTCTAAATCCCCTTTTAGACAGAGCTGCAATACTGCATTATTGCGGTGAGCCCGCTGGCATGGGTTTCTGTCTAAAATTTGGGCCCACAAATTTGGGCAGCCTAAACCGCAAGATCTGTCCGTCAACACCCTCAAACAAGATTTTATTCCAGGACCCTCGACGGAGCTCTAGGCAGCCACTTGATTGGACCTTGGGATTGTAAGGAAAGAATGGTTACTACCAAGCCACAGTTTCTCTCCACACATGAAGTACTTGTTTATTTATTTATTTTTTTTTTGCTTACCAAGATTCTGTGCAGACTTGGCGTCCAGTACTTTGAGTTCTTTGGTTTTTTTAGCAGGGACTTTCTTATTGTTTCCACCATCTCCACCACCAAGTTTTTTACCTTAAACATCATCAATATTATAATAAGAAATATATAATAATAAAGGTAATGATGATCATGAAGACCATCATCATAACAATGATATTAATAACACGAAATATTAACAATCATATCATTATTACAAGCAATACAAAATAATGACATTAATATTAAAAAACAAACCTGGTTTTGATGCAAATGCAGATGAAAGTGTATTAAAGAATTCCTCATCTTCCATTGATTCTTCCTGAACTTTGACCCAAAATGAGTTCTTTTTTAATTGTTTAGGGTTTACCTACAAAAATATAAACATATAAGACAATGAACAAACAATTTTGATTGAACAACAAATAAAATGTAATTTTTAAGTTCACTCCACTTAAGTTATACTGCCTTTCATGGCTGCCAAACAAAATTTAAACAAAATAGGCTGAAAAATTTAATTACATATTTAAGTATTCGTCATCAGCTTAAATTAACAAATTTGAATTAGAAAATGAATGTCAGGTAAATAATACATTTCTTTTGCATGTAATTTTTTATATATGTATTTGATTGAAGTACATTAATATATACCTTGTTCCAATTTGCTCGTTTCATTGGTTGTACAGGATTATATTTTTTCTTGTCTTTCATGCCGTGAGGCAACCCAGGTGAAAACAGTGAAAACGGTGAGAACCCTGTCTTACCCCCAGGAGGAGGCGGGGGCGGTGGCGCACCAGGTGCCCCTGGTACTGGTGGTGGTGGTGGTGCACCTCCGCCAGGGAATGGTGGTGGGGGTGGTGGCCCACCACCTGGGAATGGTGGAGGAGGAGGAGGTGGAGCTCCTCCTGGGAATGGGGGAGGTGGGGGTGGTGGAGGACCCCCTCCAGGACCTGGAGGAGGTGGTGGTGGAGGTGGCACTCCTCCAGGTGGCGGAGGAGGCGGTGGTCCACATACTGGGACACCTCCTGGGTTAGGGATTGAGACAGGTCCTGCAGCAATCTGAAAATATAACCATTTAAATTGATAAAAACATGAAGAAATTAAGAATAATTATTTCAATTAAAACTCATATCGATAAAGACAGTAAATTGAATAGAAAGCAGCACTTTAAGGACTAAAAATTGTTACTGATACACAAGCTTTAAACTATACAGTGGTCATAATCAGATGACAACACAGCGGTCTTCAACATTCACCTGATAAATAACACTGTGTGATCAAAAGCTTTATCAAGCGCCCTGAGTATCTTACATTAGATGGATATGTGCGCTATATAAAACCACACTATTATTATTATTGTCTATAAACCTTGTTAGTGTATAAAGAGCTGTTTGGCTACCATTTACTGCTTATCATCTAGACTAAAACAGCTACCATTTATAATTCATCATTTATAAAGACAAAAAAAAATGTTGACATTTATAAAGACAAAAAAAGATGTTGACAGTAAAAGCACTTTAAACGGTTTATGATGTGAAGAGCCCAACTGATTGGTTTGTAACTACCTGAGCTTTGAGCTCTTCTATTTCTTTCTCCTTCTCTTCCAGTTTTTTCTCTATTGTTGTTAACTTTGCCTCTGATTCTAGTCGAAGGGTACATTCACGTTGAAACTATTTTTATTAAAAAAAGACCATCAGATGCAATAAATATTAGAGTTAGTTTTTAAAGAACAATTTAATAAGTCTACTTCAAAAATGTTGTCAATCCTAATTGACTCACATCATAAGACAAGTAAAGATGAATATATTCTTGTTAGCTGGAATTCAATCACTTAAGTATATTCAATTAATGTAAAAAATTATTCATAAGTTTAGGAGACACTTAGTTATTTTTTAAGTGCTTTCAAAGAATCTTTCCACATTATAATGTTTGGGCTATTTATAGAATAAACCCAATACTCACATCTTTATCTAATTTTTCGATCTGGCCATTTAGCTCATCGTACTTAGCCTTCTCCGTAAGATCAGCTGGAATTTTAATAAAGTAGGAAAAAAAAAAATATTAAAGATATTCTAAATTTCAAAACAAGATATTTCACATAACAGTATTATCTAAAATAACCATAGAGCTATTAAACACCTACACTGCTGACTAGGCGACGAAGCAGCGCATAGCTGTGTATGTCTACTCTACAAAATGGCCGCTGTAGAAAAGTGCCAATTTCAAGTGTAGTATACATATCATAACCATAAATAAGCCTTCTAACTATTATTTCAATAATTATTATTACACATAATACAATAAATTATATTAAACTAACATAGTCAAAATGAGGCCAAATGAAATATCTTGATACTAAAAACAAAGTACTGAGGAATGAAAATCGAAATCATATTCACTACAACGCAACACCACAATGAATTATACATACCGATTAAAGGTTCAATATCAAACTCGATGACCTTCTTAGCCACAAAGTCTGGGTCACACCCATTCTTATGCATAACAATCTGGCTTATTGTTTCTTCAATTAACTTGTAATACTGAGGTCTAAAATAAGAATACAATTGCAAAAAGACAGTTAGTACAATAACAAAAAACAAATATTTTAAGTAATAATAAGATACAGTGATATACCGGTCGTGCAAAAAAACCTCAAAAGACTTTTATGCGCTATAACCACACACACGTGTGGCCTGCAAAATTTGTTTAGAACAGTCAATTTCAGACACCCACACATGCATCAAAATAATTAAATCTCAACATTTTTAGAATGAGCATCTTGCTTTAGATGGTTTTCATGTTTTCGAGAAAAGCAATACTTGTTTCATTAGCTATAGCTCTGATCTAGGAACCATATCTGAAAATTATAAGCTACCTAAATACAAAGTGACGACAATCTGAATTTAAAAAAATCATTTAATACTGACTTAAGATTCATCCATAATGTACTCAGAAAATTGAATCATGTATGTAAGAATACATGTTGGAAACGTGTTATGAATTTCCTTGTGTTTACCTTGCATATGGGTCTTCTCTGATGAGCAACAGGTGTTGAAGGATAGATAGCAGATCCGCTTCAAATGGAGAGCCGACTGCAATCTGTCTAAGCATCTTGAACACATCTTCAATATCAGTACGAAGGTGTTAAGGTACAAATATAACATCAACCTCTAATGGAGAGACAGATAGACCTTACAAAAACAGTGGTCCACCCCCCCCCCCCAAATGAATTTATTAAGGCCTATATGCGTTTCACATTATTATTACCCTGGTCACTGATATAAGCACCTAAGGAACACAAACTCAGCTCTCTGGATTTTCCATAACGTGGTACAGCAGCTACTCAGCGTATCTGGCATTCTAAACCCTACTAGGTAACTACTTACACTCCTGGGTGAAGAGAAACAATCTGTGTAAAGTCCATGGTGTATCTAGGGGTGCGCAGGAGGCGCACGCCCTCTGAAATGTCCCCACACCCACCCCCCCAGGGATACAAGAAAAATGCACACCTAAAATTCAAACCCCAACCTGAAGGTTGAGAGCTAGAACCACAACTGTTGCACCAACTGAAGGGGGCTGTATACTGTAGCACACATTTGTTAACACTCTGACCGCCAGAGGGTTTGAAAAAATAGTATAAGCCACCGCCAGACTTTTTAGCAAATTTTAACACTTTTCCGCGTTAAAATGCGTATGTGATTAGATGTAGTAAATACTACAAGAACTACAAACATTTTAGCTTTACAATGGTACCAAACACTTTATTCTAATAAAAAATCTGTGACCTGTAACAGTAAAATTAAAATGACTCAATTTTGGAGATTTATGCAATTTTGCACAACGAAGCTGAGATAATTGCAATTTCATGAAAGTAAATCAATACAGCTCTACGCTAATTTAAACAAACACATAGTGAAATACTTACTGAACAGAGTGTTCAACTTGTTAGTGCATGTCGGTAATTATCTCATCTTCATAAACTGAAACAAAGAGATTTCTGTGTTTGGCATTCAAGCGTTGTGTTACAAAACATGGAGATCTCTGTGTTTGGCGGGCAGAGTATTAATGTTTATATGTTTTGAAAGGATATTAAAATTCACACTTGATATTTTGAAATCGTTGTAGGAATTCCTCAGTATCATCTTCTTCATGTTCATCAAAAATATTCATTTGGATCTGCAGGTCATCATTCTCCGTGTCTCTTAAATCCTGAAAAAAACAAAGAACATTATTTTGATATTGTTCTCTTCATTGCAAGACTTAAGCCGAGTACTCACAGTCAAGCTATTTCAGCTTATCTCAGTCGGCTAAAACTGGTGGTGGTCATTCTGTTTGCGCTGAACCGTGGAGATTTCTTGGTCAATTCCCATCGCTGCTCTCATTGTATTTCAGTTAGAGGGCTAGAAGTTACGATGCACGTTAAAGAACGCAGTACACTCTTCGGAAAAGAGTAGGGGATTGCCTCCCCATGTACTGCCCAATCCCAATATTTGAGAAAGAAAACAAAAACAAATTCCCATTAATTACTTATTATTGCCATACCTGTATTATATCTTTAAGACCGGTTCTCATGAACTCATTTCGGAGGTGTAAACGGAAGTCCATTTCTTCTGGTGTACTGATGATAGCATTTATGAACTGCATGCTGAAGTTCTGGAAAACAAATAAAAATATTACAAATTAAAAATTCATTATCATTAGTTTCATATCAGAACATGCTTCCATTTTGCAAAACAAAGTGTAAACATCTTTGCAATAATGCCCTGCCAAGACTATCAAATTTTATGACAAAAACATGTGACACGCCTAAATATGGTCATGATGACATCACATCATGACCATATATAGGCACATCATGACTATATATGGGCATACAACAGAAAATTTAATAATCTGGAGAGAACTTTAGATGCTGAAATCCATTATTTATTATATTTTATGATTTTAAAAATGTAATGGTTTGTATCGATATACTGTGCCTTGGGATGGATTGTTCTATTATTTCAAAGGGGTGTTCTAGTGTTAGTCAGTTTATCCAGGCACGATTTAAACAAATAGACATAAATTATAATAAAATCAAGTACACATATGATTTAAGCTCTGTCCACTCTATCAAATGTTATGTGACAAAATAAATATGATATGCCCATATTTGGGTATAACATGACATCATCATTCCCATATATGGGCACATCATGCACATATATGGGCACACCACACAAATTTGTCACATAAAATGTGATAGTGTAAACAGAGCTTAAAGTCCTGTCCAGACTATCAAATTTCATTTGACAAAAACATGTGACACGCCTAAATATGGTCATGATGACATCACATCATGACCATATATAGGCACATCATGACCATA